AATACACCTAGGGGACAAACAGGTTAAGATTAGCGCATTCGCAGATGATGTACTGCTATACATAACAAACCCACAAGACTCCCTACCTACACTGATGCAGATAATACACACCTATGGACAGTTCTCATACTATTTAGTGAATGCGGCCAAAACACAGGCCCTGCCTATAGGCATCCCTGCCCAGGTTCTACGCACCCTCACACGCTCATACGACTTTGACTGGAGGACAGAATCCATACGTTACCTAGGCCTGACGATCACTAAAAACCCTGCGAACCTTATCTCAGCAAATTATGTTGCAGTGTGGAACAAATGCAGTCAACTACTGAAACAATGGTCGCCACTGTACCTGTCCTGGACAGACCGCATCGTGACACTCAAAATGTCAATACTACCGAGGCTACTATACCTCTTTCGCACCATCCCTCTCCGCCTCCCTTCCTCCTACTTTAAGACCATTCAGGCTGATATGGGGAAGTTTGTATGGGCAGGAGGCAAAGCCAGAGTAGCCACCACGGTCTTACAGGCCCCCAAGAAACAAGGTGGTTTAACACTACCCAATGTCCAAGGCTACTATCATGCGGCAGTACTAGCTACAGCTATCCCCCACATAATCTCTGCACCCAAACCACAGTGGGTCTCCCTGGAGAGGGACCAACTAGGTAACCACGACATCCTGCACCTACTTTGGACACCGTCGCATCTTAGGCCTGACTTGCCGACAGCTCCCCCCCAGATACTGCTGTTGTTTCACATCTGGGATAAGTACAGGCCCAGGTTGGGCAGTACTCCCGGCCTCTCCCTGGCAACCCCCCTAAAGGCCATACCCTACATTATCCCCACATTCAATGCCCTACCGTGGCACCGAAGTGGTGCAACGCATCTTTACCATCTATTTGATGCCCATAAACTACTAGACTACACGACCCTAGCCAGCAAATACACGCTCCCACAGTCCTCACAGTACTCATACCTCCAATTACACTCCTACATCTCTAATGAAGCGAAACGTTTCTTAGACACCTCTAGAGATGCTAACAGGTTAACTAGATGGGAACAAATGTGTATAACTGCAAGATTGCTACCTCAATGTAAACCGATCTCCATGTGTCTCAGCTCCATATTGAAACCCAACCACTTTTCCACCACAAAATATGCTCAACAATGGGAGAGCGATCTAGGCTGCGCAGGGCCACCCATATCCTGGGACTCCCTCATATCCGACCCACTAAAGCTACTAAAATCCACCTCCCACATTGAACAGCATCGCAAAATTCTATACCGGTGGTACTTAGTGCCGGCCAGACTGCACAAGATTTTCCCCTCCACCTCTCCACTTTGTTGGAGATGCCAAGCAGCGGAAGGCACAATGCACCATATATGGTGGAGCTGCTCAAGGCTACTCCCGTATTGGACGGATGTCCACACACTGATCAGAGAAGCCACACAGAGCTCTCCCCCATTTACCCCGCAGACCTGTCTATTGCTGGACCTCCCTAGAGAAATGCCCCCGCACGTCAGAAAGTTGACCTTACACATAGCCTTGACGGCGCAGCAATTGATAGCAAGGAGATGGAAGTCCACGACCCTTCCCAAGAAGGCAAACCTCTTAGAGGAATTGCAAAAGCAGTGGATTTACGAAACCTCCTACACGTCCCTCTTCCCCCCCTCTACGCTCTATAGGAAAACGTGGGAGCTTTGGCAAACATGGAGATCTGGTAAGGTACCGGGTAAAGCACCGGGGGGCTGTACCTAGCAAATGAGCTGTCAAGTCCTCAACATCTCCAAGTTGCGTATGCTTACGCACACTCCCACAGCCACTCGTGGGACGCTGATGCTGATGTTGATATGTTGTTAGATATAGAGTGACACGCTACAGTGGGGACATATCGCCATTGTCGTTCCGTATTGAAAATAATGTGGATTTACTGTTACTGTAACAAAAAAAAAAGCTTGTCTGTATCAACCTGTGATGCCCCCCCCCCCCTCCCTTCCTCCCTCTGTTATGTACCCTCCCCCGGTATAAGGAGCAACTGTACAAATCTAAACTTATTAATTATTATCCCATTCCTTTCTGTACCCTGAATACGTTGCTTACTGACAAAATAAATAAAAATTGTCAAATTTAAAAAAAAATAGTACACCCCATGTGCATTTGTTTTTTTTTAGTTTATTTCAAAGGACACTATATTGTGATCATTATTTCCCAAGTGCTCCCCTACTTAAATGTTGGTCAAAATATAAATATTGATGGTTATAACCAGATCCAGAAAAGCATCCATTCTAGCTGATGCTTGTACACTTTGTGACATGAAGGTGTCATTTAACAAGTTAAAAAATGTAATTCCCTTTGCTGAACTATTAGTCCCTCTAACCCAATTTATGTCCAGGTAATAAAAATCTCCAATAATTAACATGTTACCCAGATTTGCAGTTCACTTTGAATTTATGGTATCACACTTCACAGGGATATTCAATAAAATCTGAATTGTAGGGAATTTAGTAAAATTTCATCCAACTTGAATATCGAATTAAGTGGTAAATCCTGCTTTTAAAGGGATACTAAAGTCACCAAAACTTATTTAGCTTAATTAAGTAGTTTTCATATATAGACCATGCCCTTGCAGTCTCACTGCTCAATTCTCTGCTATTTAGGAGTTAAATCACTTTGTTTATGTAGCCCTAGTCACACCTCCCTGAATGTTACTTACACAACCTTCCTAAACATGTCATATAAAGAAAGATCTAATGTTTAAACTTCCTCTATTGCACAGTCTGTTTAATTTAGAATGTCATATCATTAATCCTGTATGATTAAAGTTCAATTTACAGAACAGGAGACAGAAACATCTAAAGTAAGTTAACATCTGATTGGAAAGGAAACCATTTTGTTTTTGTGCAGGCTGTGTGAGTTACAGCCAGGGTAGGTGTGGCTAGGGCGCATAAACAGAAACAAAAGTCATGTAACTCCTAAGTGGCAGTGAATTGAGGAGTGACACTACAGGGACATGATCTATACACTAAAACCGCTTCACCTAGCTAAAGTTGTTTTAATGCCTATAATATCCCTATAATAAAAAAACTTTGATGCTGATTTTTTTTTTTTGCAATAGAAAATGTTTCTTTAATATATTTTCCATGGAGCTGAGAGAGAATTGCCTCAAATATTTGTTTTTTTTTCTAGGTCAGCATTTCTACTGTGGGATATGGCGATACAGTTCCTGACACTGTTTTAGGAAGAATTGTTGCTTTTCTCTGCATATCGTTTGGCATTATCCTCAATGGAATGCCCATCTCCATACTATACAACAGGTTTTCTGACTTTTATGCAAAATTGAAAGCCCATGAAACTACGGGTACTTTGAAACAAGCACATGGAATAAGATTTAAAGAGAGGATCTTAAAGAAGTTTATGTCTTGTTGCTCAGTGAGACAAGGGATAAGAAAATAACGGGACAATGAAAATAAAGCATTCAATGATGCTAGTTTGCAAATATTAATATGGCGTAACTACATGAACACGAGTTGCCATTAGTGAGACATGACGGGATTAATATTAGTTGCACGAGAACACATAGACTTACACTAATCATTAATCCCAACCGGGATCCAAAAGGAACTCCTATGATTAATTCATGCTCGAAGACTGGAGGAGTTCGAGCATAGCAGATGCGCTTTACATGGACTCCACATACATCTATCCTCGCCAGAGCGACATGAGGCGGTGATTGACAACAACATACTGGGTGATGGCGTTGCCTCCCCATTCTGGCCTACTCAGGGCATAGGCTGATTATTACGGGTTTTAGTGCGGTGTAAGTAACAAGGACCTACACCTGTAAGTGGAGCGCTCAAACACATATACAGCTTACCAAACGTTATTTCGTACAATTGTACAGTAAAGAGTACATGTGGAGAAAAATACAAAAAAAGTACAATATAGTGCAGATGGTATTTAAAGTGGCAATGCAATAGTTAGAATAATATCATAATGAATTGTGCACTCACATTTCAAGGAGCCTGTATATAGAAACACTGGCTCTGTATCAAGGCTTGTGTGCTTATTATGGTAGCACCACCCTTCTACTTCGATTTGGAGTAATTCTCAAAGACAAAAACAGAGGGAGAGCGAACCAATGTGTAGATTGCGGTCATAAAAGCACACATATACCGTGTTTCCCCGAAAATAAACCCTACCCCGAAAATAAGCCCTAGTCGGATTTTCGGGGTGGGCTGCAATATAAGCCCTACCCCGAAAATAAGACCTAGGCATTGCACCTTTGCGGCGAGACTTCCTTCTTCTACTGTAGGAGGAGCGTTGCGGGCCGCGGCATCGCGCAACGTGATGACGACATTTCGCAGCGCCGTCAGTCTGCCTTCACGGATCTTCAGCGGAAGGATCCATTTCCGGGCGGTGAGGCACCCAGTGGTCGGACTCGGCAAGGAATCTTTGAAATGTGAGTACCGGTAGATATTTTATGTCTGGGACTGAATTAATTAAAGGGGGCGGGGGGTGAATTAATTAAAGGGGTGGTGAATTAATTAAAGGGTGGGCTGGATTAATTAGAGGGGGGTGAATTAATTAAAGGGGTGGTGAATTAATTAAAGGGTGGGCTGGATTAATTAGAGGGGGGTGAATTAATTAAAGGGGTGGTGAATTAATTAAAGGGTGGGCTGGATTAATTAGAGGGGGTGAATTAATTAAAGATTAATTAGAGGGGGTGAATTAATTAAAGGGGTGGTGAATTAATTAAAGGGTGGGCTGGATTAATTAGAGGGGGGTGAATTAATTAAAGGGGGGTGAATTAATTAAAGGGTGGGCTGGATTAATTAAAGGGGGGTGGATTAATTAAAGGGGGGTGGATTAATTAAAGGGGGTGGATTAATTAAAGGGTGGGCTGGATTAATTAAAGGGGGGTGGATTAATTAGAGGGGGGTGGATTAATTAAAGGGGGGTGGATTTGGATTTATTAAAGAGGGGGTGGATTAATTAAAGGGGTGGATTAATTAGAGGGGGTGGATTTATTAAAGGGGGGTGGATTAATTAGACAGTATGGTATTTTGATCCCCAGACAAGATGAGTGCAAAGAGAAAGAGCTGTACATACTGGTAACGTAAATAAATAAGCCCTACCCTGAAAATAAGCCCTAGTGTGTTTTTTGTGACTAAAATTAATATAAGACCCGGTCTTATTTTCTGAGAAACACGGTATATTAGTAAATGTGGTGCTCACCTGGTTCTGAGCCTATGGGTCCTGGCTCTAGGTGTGTAAACTCTGTGCCAATTTGAATGGGGATGGCACTACCCCTATGAAGATTCTCTGGAGGCTCCAAAAAAGGACTTGAGTGGGGTATTGGATAAAATAACAAATTTATTGGTGTGTAATATATACAAACAAATGTGTTAAAAAGTCCTCAATAAAAGTCCTTTAAAAATGGGCAAAATGTGTTTCACTCTCAAATAGAGCTTCTTCAGTCAGAAGAAACTCTGTTTGAGAGTGAAATGCGTATTGGCCATTTTTAAAGGACTTTTATGGAGGACTTTTTAACACATTTGTTTTTATATATTATATATATTTTATATATTATATTATAAAGCTCTATTTGAGAGTGAAACGCGTATTGGCCATTTTTAAAGGACTTTTATTGAGGACTTTTTAACACAGATTTTATATGTTAAATCGCCTACTTCTTTACTGTTGGTACCCTGTGGCACTATCATTAGCTACCAGTTATGCTCCACTCTGCTACGATCCTTTTAGTTATTAACCAGATACACTTTGCAATTTATTTTCATGTTATTTATAACTAATTTTGTCATAGTACAGATAACCTACATTCCATAATACTTCATGCCATACATCACTTGAACTGTGTTTTTCTTTTCTCTTGAACTCTCTAATTAGAAAATGAGCAGTTTAAGCCCACTTTACTGCTCTCGCATGACCTGTTTATTAAGATTTATGCTGCACAACAGTACAGAGAATGCTGTTTTGTATTATCCATGGATGGCAAAATGAAAGAATAAAAAAAAGTCAAACTATGAATGGTTTGTTCGACAAAAATGCAAATGCTTTTGTATTTTTTCATTTTACTGTTAAACATTGTATCATAGTAGTGTAGATCACATGTATAATAAAACTAGCCTTTTAGTAATCATGATAAATAACACAAGCACATTTATCTCCAAATTGCCCCATGGTCCATACTGAAGCAATATAATGTATTTACCAGTTAGGTTTAGGTTAGGTTTTTTTTTTCAAATGACAGTATAGACATTATTGATTTATACTGTCACTTGATAAAGACTAACTGGGGAAACTCATTGTGATTTTAATAGTTTTATTTTAGAATTATTTTTAAGTTTGGTAATAAATTTATTTTTACATTCCTGCTTTTATATTGGTTTTTATTTATATTTACTGGTTATCTTATCTACATTGAGAATTTCTGCCAGCACTGCAGCATTTTTCCATATATATATATATATATATATATATATATATCCAAGATGGCAATTGTACCAACCAAGCTGATTTTATAGAGCAATTTGGTGCTCCAACAAATGTAAGCACATTTCCTTCACCAACATCTATATATTTATATTGCTGTATACAGAGAGCACTATTTTCACTTTGTTTTATTGCATATACTACAATGTGGATTTATAAGAACACCAACAGCTATATCCTGTGAGTAAGGATTGTACCGCTTCAAGCTACTAACTACGAGCTGATTGGATAGATCTCTGTTTGTGAGTCTGCTTCTCAAATATTTCTATAGGGTTCCATTTTGTCAAATTGATTTGCACTATTAGTGCTACCTGTCTGTTTTACCTATTTTACCTCTCCCTGTCTGTTTTACCTGTTTTACCTAAAAAAAAATCCGCTACCCAAAAATAAGCCCCCCCCCCCAGGGAGAGATAGTCCAGATATGGGTACCGATAAGTACCAGAGGTAAGGCTAACATGACATAACCTAAGAGTAAGGAGAACTCGCCTTAATGGTACTCCGTGGAAGACTCCACTTTACTAGGACCACACCACAACTCCCCCTGCCTGGCAAAAAAATATATACTTAAAAGTTAAATAACCCCAATAAAGCAAAGTTTCAAGGGTTTCCTCCTTTTCTGCTGTATAACATTTGGGTTACCCGCTGCTCCGAAGCTCTACGTTAGTCTCTCCTGAGAACCTATCTGGTATTCCCATGATTTATGTGGTTATACAGACTGGCCTTCCTTTATCATTCTCATTAATCAAAGTGAGCTAGTTGGTAGCTCCACACTTGTGAGTGTATATCTAATTATTTAACAATACTATTTTTGGCTATACAATATTACACGATTTGTTCCTTTTTTGTGTTTTTATTGTCTTTTAATATTGTATTCAGAAAGAAAAACAGACTTTTGTTTAAAACCATCTGCCACAGCAAAGAAATTCTAAATTCCCAAAGAATTTCTGAGGGTTACTACTGATCCACTTTGATATTTGCACTATTATACACTAGGCAAGTGGTGTCTTACTTGTTGTTGATATAGTTGTTTTATATCCAGTCAAAGATTTTGTTACCTTCCATATTATTATTATTATTATTATTATGATATTTATATAGCGCCATCAAATTCCGCAGCGCTTTACAATGGGTGGACGAAAATACATGTAATATAGTATATTTCTATTGCTATTTATTAGGCGCAACCTGTTTCCTTTTTTGTTCTACACTGTCTATACTTAGCTTGAATTAGAGGGACTCAAACTTCATTTATTGTTGATGTTTCTTTTTATAATAAATTGCTCCTTTGTGAAGCAGTTGCCTGATGTAAAAAAAAAAAAAAAAAAAAAAAGCACTAATATTCACAAGCCCTTTCCACTAACTGAAGACAACTGGGTCTTCAGACCCCAAAACCTAATGTCTAGCAAAGACTATAATTATTGTCGGTTAACCTTACTGAAAGGCCACCAATCCTATGCCCCATGGGGTTTATGCTCTAAATTTGTTAGATGTCAGAGAGTTCAAAGCAGGCTGTAAACATCATAGAATATGGTTTACAGTATACTGTAATTGCATATTTAAAAGAAGAGTTAACACCTTTTACAATTGTTGTTTGATATACATTTAGTAGACAGTTGGTTGTTAGAGTAGGACCTGCCAAAGATGGGGTACATTGATGCTGTGGCAGGCTTATGCAATGTATGATCATATACTGTAACTAAACCCCCATTATTTTTTGCCTAGATTAGGTGTTTTTAATAAAACTAGCAAAATCTGTCAGCACCAAAGTAGCTGTTTAGTAGATAAAGGAGTGCGCTGGATTTTAATTTTTATTGTTTGAGATACATACCATGATTTTCTTTTTGCTTTTGGCCAGTTTGGGGTTTAAGATTGTACCTGGGCTACAGTGGCTAGGAGCCTTGTACCAGTTTAGCACCAGTGCGTATGTTATAATAAATATAATATGGTTTCACTTAAAGAGACACTATAGGCACCCAGACCACTTCATCTCATTGAGGTGATCTAGGTGCACTGTCCCTATCCGTTGAACCCTGCAATCTAAAACATTGCAGTTTCAGAAAAACTACAATGTTTAGATTGCAGGGTTAAGACTGACTCTAGTGACTGTTTTACAGACAGCCAGCAGGGGTGCTTCCTGCTGTTTCACAGTTTAAATCCGTGAGTTTAAACCCATGAAGCGACACAGGATTCCTGCCGGCTTTGCATAAGGACGTCCAGCGTCTTCAAATCCCAGACAGGAAAGCTTTGATTTTATATTTTCTTAGGGGGAATGATAAAAAAACAAAAGAAGTGTAAAAATAAAAGTGTCCCAAGATCAAAAACAGTGAAACTGATATAAAAAGTGCTTCCCCAACACTAAACAAAAAAGTGAAGAACAAAGAAATATCAGTTCATACACAAAACCCAGTGAGAAAAAAATATAAGTATAAAACACATATATACAACAATATATAAATTGTAGGTACTGAGATAGTAAAAGAGGGACAGCTTTGTATTTCTAATTCTATAGTGTTCCTTTAATTGAAATGGAAATTTAATCTGCTAGCCAAATATTCTTTCCTTATACTACATATGTGCACATCTAAATCCTAACAACACACACCACCAACCTAATCATAAAAAATGTACTCATATTTACCATAATTTTCTTTTCATTGATAAATCCATGGCAGCATCACAATAGGGTTAGCTCCACCCACTTAGCTGTTTAGGACAGGAACTAAATTATAAATAGGACCTCCCCTCTCTGAGTCCTCAGTCTTGTAACACGCTCGATGGTCTATAATAAAAGAACGAAAACAAAGAAGAAGAAAGGAGGAAAAAATGGATGCTGCCATGGATCTATCCCAAAAAAATATGGTAAGTATGAGTAATTTTTCTAAATTCCTGGCTAATCCATGGCAGCATCACAATAGGGTAATACCCACGCTAAACTTAAGGGAGGGGAAATATCAAAATAAATAAACATTTGAAGGTGATGGATAGATGGAAGGCAAAATAATTTCCTCATTAAGATGGAACTTTGACATAACCTTTTGACAAAATTCTGGGACTTTGCCTAGGACCACTCTATCCTGGTAAAACACAGTATAAGGTTCTTCTGCAGATAAGGCTTGAATCTCTGAAATCCTTCTGCCTGAAGTGACTGCAATAAGGAGGAGGCATTTCAATGTAAGCAAACGGTCTGAAGATTCTACTAAAGGTTCAAATAGTGGAAGACACAAAGCTTTTAATACCAAAGGCAGGTGTGACAAATGCCACTTTCCACAGACATTTGCCACAGACTCCTGGATGAGTGTGGAAGCTGGCCTCCTGCCCACCGACTATGGGCAAGGTCAGCGACTGTAAAGACCCATATTTTATTTCCCCTGGTTCCCCTACTTCAGCACTTTCCATACATGCACATAGAACCGAACGCTAGCTCCCTGGCAGCCATTCGCATGGACCAAAACTGCAAATAGACTTCAGGGTGACTTAGTGTCACGGGTGGCGGTACGGAGACCGGGACCCCTGAGTGTCTGATGATGGGAGTCCCACTGGAAGCTGGATCCTGGTCTTGGGTCCAGGGTGGGTGGAGTACAGCGAGACCCCAACCAACCTGTGGCAGTTTGTGGGGTTTACGGTGGTTATGGTGTCCGGTGCGGTGCTTATGGTACTCAAAGATTACTAGGAAGCAGTGATTGACGGAGGTACCCAGTCAGGGTGCCAGGCGGTCTGTCACAGCAGTTCCCAAGGTGGAGGAAAGGATCTAACAATAGGTTTAACTTTTTTGACTGCTGTAAGAAACCGGGCTTCCATGGAGTCCAATGCCCACCTATTTCCAGTAAGGGCAGATAAGGCTGAACCCTGCACTCATAAAGAACTCAGGCTGAGACCTCTATCAAAACCTGTTTGAAGAAAATCCAAGATGTTGAACACTGTGGAAGAAAAACAAGAAATATTGTTATCCAAATCTGATAATATGTAGAGGAGGTCAATTTCCTTCTGGATTGCAACAGAGTGTTAACTACTGATTGAGAAAAAACCCTCATAACTAGATTCCTCCGTTCAGTTTCCATGCTGTCAAGTGAAGGTTGTTTGGAGATGGGTGAATTGTTAGCTCTTGAATCAAAAGATTGTGATTCCCATGGAGGCACTGTTAACATGAACTTGAGGAGTGGGAAGCATGGTCTTCGAGGCCCGAAAGGTATGATCGCAATCACCTGAAGATGAACCAGCTTGATTTTCTTTAGGGTTCTCCAGATGACCGGGAATTTAGGAGAAACATAGTCAAGATTGAAGAACCATCTGCTGGACAGGGCATCTGTGGCCATGGCTGAGAATTCAAAGCTGTTTCCATTAGATCCACCTCTGGAATGCCCCATCGTTGTGTCAGCTGAAGGAAGACTTGAGGATTGAGTTGCCATTCGTTTGGGTCAAGGTAATGAAGGCTGAGAAAGTCTGCCCTTGAATATTTTGCTCCTGGGACATACACTGCTGTTAGCCCTAATGTCATCTTCTGGGTCCATAACATGATGGGTTCCAGTTCTTGTAGAAGAGTCTTGCTTCGGGTGCCTCCTTGCTTGTTTATATATGCCACCGCTGTTCTGTTGTCCATTCGAATCTTCACCCAATTCCTCATCAGAACTTCTTGAAAATGTATCAAGGCTTAGTAGGCTGCTCAAAGTTCCAAAATGTTGGCCGGTATATTAGTGGCTTTCTGTTTCCATTTCCCGTCAGCATTCCACTGTAGAAGGTGGGGGAGCCCAGCCTAGGCCCCTGGTGTCGGTGGTTATAGTTAACCACTCTACTTCCCATAGGGAAAAACCTCTATGAAGGTTTAAAGGAGTTTGCCGCCATTTCAAGTCCTTTC